ACGAATACTACTNTTCTATTTACGTCTTATAAGTACGTTAGTCGTAGTAGTTTTCTATATATATATATATATATATATATATATATAAAACAAGAAAACAAAACAAAAACAAAAACAAAATTTTTTTTAATATGAAATAACCTCAAAAACGTTTTTTTTATTCCCTGTTTGAAGTTGAAGAGGCCTTAGAACACAATTTTTTTTTTTATAGAGAAAAAAAAGTTCAGAAAACGATCAATTTAGTAGAAAATAAAACAACAAATAAAAAGCCAAAAATTTTGTGATCCAAGAGAGAACTTGTCACTGTTATACTCGGTTGCACGCACGCGCAAGGCAAGTTTACAGGGGCGTAGGGTAACATGGAAAAACTGGTTCTTGCTGAGGTAAAATCATGAATAGTTTGTTTCGCTAAGGAGGATGAGTCGAATGCATATCAGGCTACAGTCACACACATATGTACTTGGACCCCTCATGTCTGCGAAACCTCTTTGTGATTTATCTTTTGTGATTATCTTAAAGAACATGAGACTGAAAGCTTTATCCTTAGAAGTATAAGACAAAAAAAAAAAGAAAAAAAGAAAAGAAAAAGAAGATAACAATAGAAGCATAAGATAAACCAAAAGAATAACCTTAGAAGCGCAAGATAAACTAAAAGAATGAACTTGCTCTTTTTAGAAGGCAACCGAGTGATCTCTTTTTCTTTTTTCTCCAGCAAACAAAAAGGTATTTAAACGATGCCAACGAGAATAATAAAGCAAACTAATTTTTTCTTTTTATTCTTTAATCAAAACATGGCCTTCAAAAGGAGATTTTTTTTTTCGTGCACGGATCTAGCTAGAAATACCCCACAGTGGGCGCCAAACTGTTAACGGTACAGATCGGGGAGATCTCGAGAGGAAGATCCCTCAGATCCGAACCACAAATTGATTTTAAAAGTGTGATAGAGAGTGGGGACAATCAAATTCTAATCTTAGGTAAGCCCTACTAAAAAATGAGGAGATTTGCTTTTAGATCAATGGCAGAGTCAGTGTTGATCCAAAAGTAAAAAATATTGAATGAAAAGTGAATAAAATAAGAGAAAAAGAGATGAGAAAAATACCTGGCCAGGCCAATTGACCCTGGCACCCGAGGCTTCGAGGCCTTGCCTTATCAGAACCACGATTGTGTTTACACAGTGTGTTCAAACTTTACCAAGCATTGACTTGGTTGAACTAGAGTTTTGCTGATCTAAGCTAAAGTTGGTTTTAGGGCCTCAAGTTTGCTTCTCTAGATCTAGGGTTGCTCTCTGGCTCTCTTTGGTTTCTTAACTCACACGTTTGATTTTCTCAGTTTTTTTTCTTTCTTTCTAAAATGGTCGCCCAAATATCTTTTTGATGATTGAAAATAGCGTGTAAACGGATAAGTACCAAAAACTACCAAATATGTTAGGATACTGGATCACATAATGATGATCATGGACTATGGTGGTCTATGATTTAGGAGTCTACTAAAATAGTATGGTCCTAAGGGCTAAAAATAACCATGGCATTTACAAGTTTCAAAATGGGGTGCCTACCCTCCCTGTATGCAATATTTTTTTAAGGGTTGCTCTCTTTCCCTTTCCAATTTCAAATCAATGTCGTTAGAGATGGGGTTCTTTCTTATTCTTGTAGCACATATTCACCCTTAAAATTTGACTTAATAATGTAGTAAGTATATATAGGATGGATATAGAGATATTTATGTATTTCTAATAAAAAGTAAGCAAAACTTTATATAGAGCTGAAGCTTTAAATAATCAAATTAGAGCCCACCTCAAAACTTCCACTAGAAGAGGTTGTTTTGATGCCCAAATATCCTCAAATTGATCATCTCAACATCAAGTGACATAAGAAAAAAAATAGATTTCAAGTATTGGAAATAGTGTATCTTGTAGTGCATTTTTTGACGGTCAATTTTCAAGATTTCATAGATCTGCTTGATCTACACTATTTTTGAAGCTTTAAACTTTATAATTAAAGATGAAAATATGCTTTAAGGCTATCATAAAGGTTTTTAGTATTGAAACCACATTTCTCGACACTATTTGAAGGTGTGCTTTACTTTGATTGTTTAGGGCCTCGGCTCTATGCAAACCGCACCCTAAACATTATGCCCAATTTAGGTAGTAATTTAATGTAATGGTTGTATAGTAATATAATGTAACAACCTTCAAAAATTATGTTAGGGTCATTTGTTTGATCAAAAATTTAAAATATATACTCTTTTCATTCTAATGAACAATCACAAAAAAAAAAAAATTGAAAATGCTACCTAAAAAGTATTTTTTTAGCCCAATTAATATAGGTCTTCCATTTTGATAAGATGCTTAAATCTAGGCCTTAAAAGGATTTTTTTATTTTCTAATTTTTTTAGATGGGTTTAGTATCTTTAAATGAATAATGTTAAAAAAAGACAAAATAATTTTGAGTTTGTCAAGGCTAAGATCTTGAAATTTACCAAATGAATGGTCTAGATTCGTTGTTGGAAAGGACTCATTTTGCCTATATCTGGGGTTCAAATGGAATTGTTTTTTTTTTTTGGGATTGACTATCGAGATGAAGAGTGTGTGTACAAAATTTTAGGTCATACAAATACCTCAAACATGATTTTCTAGAAGTGTGGTTGCATTATAGTATGAAACAACCGTTTGCGTTAGATTACTACCCAATAAATTTTAATTTACAATTTTGTGCAATGATCATATATTTGGATTTTTACATTTTAATTTACACAAAGACCATGCTAGTAATTTAAAAAAGCAAATCACACTTGACCTTAATCGACCGTATGATCTATGAGGGTGGTTTGCATAGAGCCGAGGCTCTAAACAATCAAAGTACATCACACCTTCAAATAGTGTTGAGAAATGTGTTTCGATATTGGCAATATTTGTGATAGCCTTAAAATATATTTTCATCTTTAATTATAAAATTTAAAGATAAAAAAATAGTGCAGATCCATGAAAACTTGAAAATCTTGAAAATTGATGGTCCAAAAACGCGTTAAGAAATGCATTATTTTCAAAACTTAAAATCCATTTTTTTCTCATATTGATGCATCTTGATGTGGAGATGACCAATTTGTGAATATTTGGGCATCAAAACAACGTCCTCTAGTGAAATTTTTGAGGTGGGCTCTAACTTTATTTGTTTAAAGCCTCGGCTCTATAAAAACTGTGTGCATGATCTATTTTTCCAATATACTTCCCTCTTGATAACACTTCCTTTTGCTTGTGTTTCCTGCGCCTTCAGTCAAATAAAACAAGGGAAAAGTTTATATAAGGTTGCAACCTTAAATGTAGAATCACATATAAATCTCAAAAATCTATCGGAAATATTGTTTTAATATTGAAAAAATACTCTAATCGACATCGAGATGTATGAATATGAAAAAAAAGTTTTTGAGTCCCAAAAATAGTGTATCATGCAACACATTATCTAGACCATCCACTTTCAAGATTTTCATATATTTGTAGACCTACTTAATTTTATCTATTTTTAAAATTTAAAATTTTCTAATGAGGTATGAAATAAGATTTTAAGATAATACTAATAAATTTTTTCAACAAAATTACATGTTATAATAAAATTTTGAGGTGCGCCTTAATTGGTTTGTTTAAGGTTGCAGACACCACGCCCATAAAACAAACGCTGGTCCGCCAATTACATGCTCTTTTCGTCTTTGTACCCTAAAACGTTAAGGGCTTAGAACCTTTTTCTTCTCTGAGGCTCCGAAGCTCCTCTCCCCTACTGCAAACCCTAAAACAGTAAGGGCTTAGAGCCTTTCTCTTCTTGAAGCTCCTCTCCCTGCTGCAATTTTTGCTTGTTGAGATTGCAGCGAGCCGCTCTGTGTCTCTCTTTAAAGATGGCAAACAGTAAGACCTCTTCTTCTTCTATCATTCTTTGGTTATTTTTGCTATCTACATCCTTTTCTCTCACCTCTTGAACCTCTTCTAGGGTTTTGAATTAGAGTGTGTCACCATTGAAATGCTAGATATGTTTGAGATGTTAATGGCTGTATTTATGGTCTTTTTATACAGATATGGTGAGGTCGTTCCGTGATATTGCGGCTACTCAGGAGGTTGCTTCCCCACTCAGGGTTGTGCAAATTGATGGACTGGTACCCACTTTTTAAATTTTCTTTCTGTTCGGTGTTAGAGAATTGATTTGTGTGTAATGGGTTGAGATCGCTTCGTTGGTTTAGACTTTGCTTCATGAGGTTCTGGTTTTCTTTCACGGATACGGGGTGAAAAATTACAAAAATTGTAAGGAAGGATCTTCTGGCTTCTTACTGATTTGGCACCTTTCCGTGTATTTCTTAGCACACAATGATTTTAAGTTATAGTTCTTCGATTCCAACTAGTGCAGCGGCTCTGTCTTGCCCAAAGACAACGTTTTTATTGAGCAGAAATCGTCCGCTACAAAGTTTTTATTTAGCAGAAATCGTCCGCTCTTTATCTCTCTTAACACATACTTGATTCGTGAAAAAAGGATGCGATAGAACTGATGGAGGGTCTTGTAAAACCTTGGAATATTGGGAAACATCCATGGGAGCTAGAACCTGATTTTCTGTTATATAATTATTTTAAAATGAATAAGCTGTACAAGTGAGGAAAACAAAATGAATTTTCGAGGAAGTAGAAGTAGAACCTTTTGGACGCTATAAAGGAAAACTGGTTCCCATCCCTGGCCAAGCTCCTAAGGAAAATGAGTCCTTATTCTGTTTCTTGTCCTTGAAGAGAATTTGAGGTGGTGGGGAACTTATTAACATGTCAGCAACTGTTATTGAACTTGAGCAAATTCTTGACCAATGTTGGATTCACTCATTGTATGAACTATTATTGCTCGAATTTGTCATATTTGTTTCATTCACTATTGATATATCATAGGAATTATAAAGCTTGTGAAATACAAGCTCTATAGTATTTTGCCGCAAATTGAGATGGTTCGTGATTTATTTCTATGTTATCTTTCGAGGTACGGGGGAAAGAGAAAAAAGATAAAGTCTATAACATAATTAAATATTAATATGCTACTCTCTCTATGCAGGGGAGTCCGCCTTAGAGGTTGAGAGTTTAGGCCCTCCCTTGAGGCCTACTTTCACAATACCTAAATTCAATTCAACTTCTCTTTCCTGTATCTACGAAATACAACACATTTATTACGAGAAAGCAAACTCAAATAGCTATTTTGACTCAAGAAACCTAATAACTTTCAAATCCCAGGACTCCATCTTACCTACTATTAGCCATGACAAAAATACCTGTAAAACCTCTACAAGAACAGAGGATACAAATGCCACCAAAATTCCTAAACCAGAAAAGATCAAATTGAACCTAATTTCAAACTTCTAGCAACCCAAAAAAATCACAAACTACATTCTCTTGTGATTGGTAGAAGTTTGACCTCGAGCTTGTTGAGTTCATTGCATCCTTCTAAGGTCTTAGCAATAGTTGTTGATGGAGACCCACCAATTGTCTAAGCATTTTCTCTACCTCAATCAACCTACTAATAAAACAATTATTGTAGAACTAATTTTTATTGCAACTTTGGGATTTCTAACGTAATTTTGGTTTCTTTTTCGTGCTCAATCACTTCTTCTCTATGATTTACAACCAGATCGTTTACTGGTATGGTTTGTATGTTTGCAATCATGCTTGGATTAGAAGTTAAATCCATCTTCATGACATTCTTCTTCCCTTCGTTGCTTGAATCTGTCTGATATTTCTCGCATTTTTTTGTAAATTTTCAAAAATTTGATTCATGCACTCCAAGATTGGATCTGTGTAGTCTACATATGATCTTTTTTAATGTACAAAAATTCGGCCACCAAACCGCCTAGGCGGCCTGTTTCTCAAACCACCTAGGCGTGGCCTAGGCGGGAGGGGTCCAATCGGATTTGTTTAAGGTGGCTGGCTAGGCGCCCAAGGCAGCCACCTATGCAGCCTCAAGGAGGGTGCCTGCTTGGTGCCACCTCCTTATAGTTTTTTTCTTTTATTTATTGCGAGAGAATTAGGTCTATGGAGAGAGATTTTTTATTGTTTGTATTTCTATTCATTTATTTTAGAGAGAAAAAGTAAAAAAGTATCCTTTCTTTTATTTTTGTGCATTAAAAAAGTAAAGTACATGGCACATTTTAAAAAAAGTAAAGTATCCTTTCTCTTTTATTCAGTAAAATACCTTTCTTTAATTTTTAGAAAAGAGAGAGGGTACAATTCTTAAAAAGCATGCATGTGGCACATTTACACAATAACACATGCACATTGCCATGATATTAATATTACTTTTTTGTACAACTGCAAATTTCCTGGAATTAATATTAATTTTTATACAAATCGAAACCATAAAAGGGGAGAGAATCCCCCCCCCCACTCACACACACACAAAAAAAAAAAAAGAAAGAGAAAAAAAGGTCGCCTCCTCCTTCTTGAATGTTGTTCTTTTTAATATTTCAGGCTCTATGGATTGAGGCTTTGATACCAAATGATACATGGAGGAAAGAGAAATCAAATAAAAACAAAAAAAATAAGTAAATATTACGATAAGATACAAGCTTTTTAGGTCAGCAGGGAAGTCCATCTCAAAGGTTGAGAGATTTAGCCTTTTCTAGGCCTGTAAGGGAGTCCAAGAGATCTTTCACATTACCTAAACCTAATTCAACTTCTCTCTTGTATTACAATGCACAATACAAATACTTGTAAGGAAAAAAAAGAGAAAACCTCAACGGAATTTGACTCTGAGGAAACCTAATGACTATTAAATTGCAGCCCTTCATCTTTTCCGGCATCGGCCATGAAAAAAATACCTCAGAAAATCTCGACAACAACAAATAACACAAATACCTCTAAAATATTTAAAAGCAAAAGATACCAAATTGTAATTTCAAAATTCTAGAACCCAAAAGTGAATCTGAATTACATTTTTTATGCAAGTGGGTTATATTTTGGAACCTGCTTGATTATTATTGAATAAAGTTCTGGCACTTTAACTTGTCAAGTATTTTATTTATGTGGATTTACGGGCTTGGAAGGATCCTATTTTGGGTCAGCCAGATAGTGTTGTTGCATCACTATTTATGCCATCTTCCCAGTGGTTCTTGTTGATTACTGGATTATGCATACCAGTTGAATTGATTCGCTTAGTGGACTCTAACTAAACTGTAACGAGTACTATTAGGATTGAAAATATGCTTTATTTCTATTAGAAAAGGCACATTTTGTCCAGTAGAAGTAAATTACGTGCGCAATGACTAAGGTTTGCAGCTGCTTGCACGGGGTATGGAAAAGTTGGCATATAGATCCTGGTAAATTGCTTGCTATTTAAGGGATTCCCTGAACCTATGCAGTCTTGTTTCTGTAGGAGACCAGTTCATTGACATACCACCAGTACATTTTTTTGACATGATGACACCGAGCCTTTGTTGCACCTGATGCTATTGAATCAGCTGCTTTATCTTTCATACCTACTATTAGAAAGTGTTTTCGCCTACTTGATGCACTAAATATTAAATCACAGACTTCTGGATCACATTTCATGCGTTGACAGTACTGTATTAAATTCCGGCTTGATGAATGGGGTCAATTCCTTCATTATATGTGCCATTAGGCATAAAGGTTACAATTTTATTGAAGAACCTTTTTGTTGCTGGCCTGTATGATGTATCAAATATAAAGGAGCTGAACTTATGGTGTTATATAATTCTATAGTTGTTTCTCCTGATTATCTTCTCACCTGTATCTTTTTGTGAAAATTTCAGCTTTTGTTAGTTCTGTTCAGATTTATGTAGGTTTTGTAGTATACCACTCGGATCATATGGTGCTTGATTCTCTCCTATTTACTGCAATTGCACTTTTTGCGTGTTCATGTATGTTTTGAATCATTGCAGTATTTTCTGGTGCATCTTTCACAGCAGCCAGACTTAGCTAGAACTATGTGAATGGCATTAATTTAAGTCCATCAAATCAAAAAACAAAAGACAGGTTACATCAGATTTAATTAGGGATGATCATGTTCTGCAATAGTGAAGACTACGCATAACTAAAGTGGAATGACACCATTAAACTGCTTAATTGATGCCGTTTCACTTTGCTGAACTACAGGTTATTTTGAAGATTATTAAACATTGCAAAGAATTTATGCCATCTCTAGTTACAGGGCAGCTTCTTGGTTTGGATGTTGGTAGTTGTCTTGAGGTTACCAATTGCTTTCCATTTCCGGTATGCACAGTTCTTTTCATTAGTCTATTCTGTAATTATGCTCTTCTTCTTATTTTTTACTAAATGAATATTGACTTATCTCATTTGCTTTGTTATCTACATCGAATTGCTAGAGTCGAGAAGAAGATGAGGAAATTGAAGCTGATGGAGCAAATTATCAGCTTGAAATGATGAGGTGCTTGAGAGAAGTTAATGTTGATAATAACACCGTTGGATGGTTAGTGTTAAGTTTTTCTTCAGCTTTGCACACTTTTGTATTTAGCACTTTCATAAACTGTTTTTCTTCATATTCATGTGTTTTCTTTCTCTAATTCATCTAATATCCAAATAGATTTAATTGTATTGAACTATTGTGGACTTTCTAAACATGTAGCTCTTACAAAATCCAAAAGGAGTTATTGGTTAGGTTCCGAGACGGCAAAACTTTGTTCCCCTGTAATCAGCTATTCTTGTCTTGATGTGGTTAAATTTATGTATTATATTAGAATTATTAAGCCCCTTTTTTTGGATGGTCACTATAAATGTGCATATTGGTAAGAATGATTGTCAACCTGGCGTTTATATTCCATTAGTTTATGGGAAGATTATGGAGAAACCTCAGTGGTAAAGTATGATCAGCTCGACCTTGAAGAGAAGTATCTGAGTGTAATTATAACCAAAAAAGGAATGCTGATCTACTGATGAAACATTGTCATGCATTGACTTGTCCCCGGGTAGTGAATCTACCAAATATAGTGCGTTTGCCTAAGTTCGTCTGAGTTAGCTCAGTTGAATTTTTGGCCTGGGGTTCTCAGAATTTCTTGGCTAATTGTCTGGCATCTGAATCACCGTGCTATCAATCATTACTTGTTGTGTAAGAACTCATGTCTTATGCCTGTTGGGTTTTCTAAGCTGCATATTTGAGAAGAGTTAATGACAGCTGTAAAAATATTTTAGCCCAACCAATGTTATGTTGGCATATGACATGGAAATTTTGCAACTAGTGCATGCAAGACTTGTTGGAGCATTTATTGTAAATCATAACTAGTGTATCAAATTGATCAATTATGGAAAACATGAATTATTTAAAAAACAATTTGGAAAATGTCAACCACGAATAAAAACACGATAATTCAACACTTACAGATTCTAACCAGTAGTATCTGTCACACCTAGCGAGTTATCCTTATGTTTGAGCACAAGGTGAGGCCTCCATTGACCAATTCTTGAAGCCTAATAGAGCAAATCTTAAGGCTCTTGAGTAAGGACTGTCCTTTTCATCTCACTTTTTTTGTCTCGCAAACTTAAAAGAAAATCATTTGCAGAATGTGCCACTTATTATTAAAAGAAAAATAAAAGGAAAGCATTCGAGCTCGTCATAATTGTGAAGGAGAATAAAAAATTCCATTCTCTGGAGTCGTACAAGTATGATTGGAGGACCAAGCTCTCTCTCTCACTCAATTTCTGCATGCTTTCTCAGTAATGATAATGTCTGCCCAAATCTGCCCCCTCCCCTTCTCATCTCTCTCAATCTCTTAGAGATCATGATGGATTGACTACCCATGTATGTTACCTATATCTCATCCCCATTCCCCTTTTCTGTTTTTGAGGAGTGTGGGGGATTATGAGAGCACTCTCTCTCTCTCTCACACACACACACACACACACACACACACACAGACAAAGGGGGTGCCCTTTGAGCAAACAAGAAATGGAGGGAAATTCATGAGACAATCAATTGCAGATGGGTCTTTGCAACCGAGCCTCTCTCTCTCTCTCTCTCTATTTTCTTGTTGACACTCCCTATCTCATCCAAGTTGAAAGTCAGACTTGCTTTTAGTGAACAATAAAGGTTGTTTGGGGTCAATTATGTATCAGAAATCACCGAATCAATCTCTCTCTCTCTCTCTCTTTATGTCAAACTCATTTCTTGTTGATGCTCTCCATCCTATCCAAATCGAAATTCTGACCCTGTTGATATCATCTTTAATATCCTCAAACTCCCTCTCTGTTTGGGCCACCTAGGAAATGAGGCGCGGTGCCACCTAGGCGGCCAAGACCCCTGGCCTCCTAAGGCGACGAAATCCGACTTTTTTAACACTGGTTTCCTCTCACCATTGCCAATTCTTTTTTAATTATGTCATGAACATTCCCTGCTTCTGTCATTCTGGCTAACTGCATGGTTAAATAGTGAGAAATCTGCAATGTACAAAATAATTTTATGCAAAAAGTAGCATTAGAAAATTGAACTATGAGATCTGGGAAGCTCATAACGACCTAGACTTGTTGTGCTTTCCAAAATAAGTTGGACGCCTATTTAAGTCTAATCAGAAGCACTTTGCTGGATGGTCAGACATCATTTATGTTGGGCTAGGTTAGTTCCGCATGTTGCTCTTTTTGGCCTGTTTTTATATTAGACAAAGTGAGAGTTCTTGTTTTCCTCTTCATTTGATAAAATAGACCAACAAAAGAAATCACTAATCGTCTACATAGACTGCTCACCAGTTATCAGACGTGTCTATCTTTTTGGTGCTCTTGCCTCCACTGCTAAAACTTTTTATCATAATGTCATAAGCTTGCATTTCTTCTCCTTGGAACTTTCATTTCAGGTTTGTGTTTGTAAAGAGTCCCTTAGATGCGGGTAGCTTGGTTGTCGGTTGGCGATCTCTCCATGGAATATCATTGATGTGACCAGAGCTCTAGCTCCCCACACAATGGATCTCGATCTCTGGCTTAAAGGGATCTTGATCCCTTTGGAAGGGGGACAGTAACCCCACTAAAAATGTGGGTGGATCTTGGTAAGGAGGATCTCGATCTTAGGGGGGTTTCAAAATTTTATGAATTTTGAAAATGACGTCTTTGATTTTTTGGCTGACTTATTGCTTTCAAACAATTTTCTAGCTTATGAACACATATCAGTGATTTTCCATGTTCATGGCTGTGGTTTGCACTGCTGGTTGAAAACTAGTGAGCCGACTTGAAACCACATATCAGTGATTTTTCATGTTATAACAAATTGAGCCATTGTTTGATTGGAGCTTGGACCAGGTGTCCTTCTTGGTCTTGTTCTGTCAATGTACTCCAAGCTTGGCCTACAAAGTCGCCTTTTTATGTACAGACTCAAATTGCATAAAATATGTCTACATATAATCAGCATCTATATGTACTGCTGATCAGTGTTATTTAAATGTGGCACACTTTTGGAATGCACTACGATAGTGCATCACCCAATGCGTGTTGGATGTTGCTTCTGATTCTGCAGTAGACTGTGCATGTGATATAGGATGAAGGAGCCTTTGCTCCTGCACCAGTGTGACACATGAGGTGGGCTTAAAAACATATGGGACAATAGGTTTTTGGGGATACTCAATAGGATTGAGGAATTTAAGGTCTAATAGGGTAGGGCTGTAGGTGCAATGATAGGGAGGGGTTAGATATGGTTAGGTCAATTTTTAGTGTTTGTTTAAGGGTTTTAGGATGGGAATACCTTTCTGTAAATTACATTTTAGGGTTTAGATAAGGAGGGTAGCTATATGGTTATGGTGACTATTGAGCTAGTTTGCCTAGGTTTTGGAGAGGTATAGCTAGGTTTTATAGAAGGGTTGGAATGGGTGACAAATTTGGTGGTCGGGAATCTGAGACAGGAAGAACCTACAATTCAAAAGCTAAGGTTTTGGGGAATATATCCTCCAAAAGGAGTGTTCTAACCTTTAGGGGAGACTCTCAAACCTAGGGTACAGTTGTACAACTACTCTCTCTATGAAAAGAGTTAGAGGAATCTCGCTATGAGGTGAAGAAATCACTACAGATTGCCTAAGACCAACAAATGAAAGAGAGTATTTATAGAGAGTTCTAAGTTCTATTGCCCTATACTTGAACCTTTGAAAGCATAGAAAACAAACTCCTAAAGACTAGGAAACTATTGAACTCAAAGGTTTTCTGAACCAACTAGAATTGGTTACTTTCTATAAACCTAATGACTTAAGGAAATTAAATTTAAGACCTAATTAAAAAATGTCTCAATAATGATAAGGAAGAAACCTAGAAGACTTGGGAAAATATAATTCATCAATAGTAAATAAATTTCATCACTAGTTTTTCCAATAGGGTTTCAACCATAATTTGAAGTCCAACGGTCCAGATTCTTAAAAACCCTTAGGATAAGGGATGTAGATCTTCAAGATATATTTGATTTAAGCTGTGGATCACACCAAACAGATATCTGTGTGGATTACACATCTTTAAAAAAAGGTTGTGTTAGCATGAACTTCACATTTACTGTCCCATTAACCAAATGGAAAGTCATGCGATTTAGAGTTGGAAATGCTTGGAATGGTATATGATCTCTATTTTTCTGAATTGGGGCAATTATTTCCTGATTGCTTTTTGGACATTGTGTTCATTTCTTGTTTTGCATATAATCTCACATATTGTTGGATTCTTTCATGTTATCTACCACTGATGAGTATCTCTGTGACCATTTATATTTGAGTTGCACCAATATGATGCACATGCTAATCTTTGTCCAGTTAATCACTGCATTTATGTATTGAGATGTTCTTGGGTCAGTATGTCTCCTTATAAGGGTCCTGCTGGTTGCTATTTTAAGAAACTCTTACCAGGTTTTAAGCTGGGGAGTTATGGTGCTGTTAAGTTTCTGATAGTATTTTTCAAAACATGTTGAAGTTCACCTTTGCATTCCAGAGTATCTAAGTCATATCACAACATTTGTGTTTATTCATCAGGTACCAGTCAACATATATGGGATCATTTCAGACAGTGGAGTTAATAGAAACATTTATGAATTACCAGGTAAAATTATCTGTTGTGTAACCTTTTGGCAAAGAAATAATTCCTGATTGCATTATTCTTTAGCATTTTGGTGGTACTAGATTGTTTGTACTGAAAATGAAAATTTCCTCGGTCTTTTATTTTCTGAGACTTTTAATGCTATCATTTGAGCAGTGTTCAGTTACCTGGTTTTTAGATTACTTCTTCTGATCTTTTTTTCTTTTTGAATCTGTACTCTAGTATTTTCTGTGGTCAATATAAATAAATAGTCCTTCCTTTTTATCCTCTTCATATGACCTTGGTTTCATGAACTGCGAGAGTGTGTGTGTGCTTACACTAGTCCTTATGTGTACGTGTATGTAGGTACGGACATGTGTGTGCATGTTTGTGTATAGGTTGCACATGCAAGCTTTTGTTAATAAATATTTGTGCATATATATGCATTGTATGATATGGAGTGCAGGAGTTAGAATAATAATAAAGAACTTGTCAAATTGCACTGAGATCAAACATCCAGTTCGTAGATGAATTATAGGAGGACAATTTAAAATAATGGGTGGTGGAAGAGCTTGAAAAGTTCTAGAATCTATTGAAGGGACAGAAACAAGGTAGACTGGTTTTAGAAGAGCCTTTGGCTAGTATGGCTACAGTTGCTGGAGATCAGTTGAGGTCTATGCATTATTGATTGGATGGATGTGTGTTGCTGATGGCGAATATGGAAGACATCGTTTCTCTTATTTTCTTTTTCTGATAATTATGGAATAGCCTAGTTTTTATGGGATAAACGTCTATAATTAGGATCGATGATGGATCATGTATGGCTGTAGTGCAGAACTTGAAAACAAGATTTCGACTGGTCAATCTAGGACGAAGTGCCGTGAGGAGTAAGGCCATCTTCATGAGTCCAGAAATCAGTAATGCATTTCCCATATGGTGTATGAACTTTATTGATCAAAAAATGTATTCATTTAAGGGCCTGCTTAGATGCACTCTTAATCACTAATAATTCACTGCTACCAAAGTACCCAGTTCTTGTGAATTATGATCAATATGATAATATCATCATATATCATTATAACCATATCAATGTTTGACAATTTGCCCGCCCAGCCGCCTAGGCGGAAAAATTTTAAAAACGCCTAGGCGCTAGTTAGGTGGGACTATTAGGCGTCCTGCATCCAGGTGCCTGCCTAGGCGCTACAGTCTAGGTGGCCGCCTAGGCGTCGTCTCGTGACAGTTTGTCAAACGGTGGAAAAAACCCTTGGGGGGGGGGGGGTGTCAAAATTTGTCATTTTTTTCCTCTAAAAAGGAGGGAAAAAGGGTTTTGGGGGATATTCTAAACCCCCAAAACCAAAACTGTGCCTCTTTGAGAGAAAAATTCCTCCAAAACCTCTCTTTTGTGATTTTTATCGAAAGGTCGATAAATTTTGGATTTTTTCGATTTCTTTCTAAAACAAAGGCAATAGTTCGTGGGTGCTTTTGGAGCTTCTAGTGGTTGATTTTGAGGACTTTTGGTGATCCAATAGATGAGGTTTGCACCGACATCGATTTGACTTTGATATTTTTAAAGTATTATCATATTTGAACAAGGATTTTGATTTTATTTTGCTATAACATATTATGTTGTGAATCATTTGGTTTTTCTTTTACTTTTTTTTTTCTTTTACGATATATTTACATGTTTGTGGTTGAAAGATTGATTTTTTTTTTTTGGTGATTTATTGAATTTTTCCTCATTTGGAAGATGAAATTGTGCTTTTGCGAATAGTCTTAAACTTTGGATGAAATTGATATTTTGTGAATATTTGATATTCAAAACCAAATCTTATGAATATTAATTAATAAATAATAATTATAATATAACTTTCATCTTAATTAATAGTCCACGCGTCCCTGTTCCTGGGCACTTGCCTAGTCCGTTAGTCCCCCAAAACGCGGAGGCAACTGCATACGCCTTTGTGAACATTGAATTGAACCATATTTATAATAATATCAAGTTTTAAATTATGAGGAAGATAATCATCATATTATATTAATTAGTATGAATATCATAATAACATTATCAAAAATTATAATATTATCACTCTTTCCTCTTTTGTAGTCAAGATCACATTATTATCTTCAAATATTTCAAAAATTGTATTAAATATTTAGTGGCCTCATTTGTTATTAATAAGTATATGTAAAATTATCAACATTATAATTGATACAGAATATTGTGCTGCCTAACAGCTATATATCTTTTTTTTTATTTTAAATATCACACATAATATATTAATATTATATAAAGAAGTCTACTACTGATACAATTTATTGTTATCGAAACAGGCCCTGAAGAACTCTCATGCAAGGGGAAAAAACCATCTGACTAGAGTTGTACTCACTGTTGTAATCGGTGATAAACCCTACAGTTGTACTCCCACTGTTTTCGCCTGCTAATCCAGTCCCTTTTCTGCTTGAAACTCACCTAAATTGGAGACAATCATGTTTGTTAGTCACCTCTAATGGACGTTTGTAAGCAAGTGCAAGAGAATTTTACCCCCTTTCATTAGTTTATGATGAATTTCCTCACTTCTGTCCTTCAAAGGGCATTTCTCCTCTTCCCAATTTTATTGTTATCGAAACAGGCCATGAAGAAACCTCATGCAAGGGTAAACCATCTGACTAGAGGACCTGGCTAATCGGTGAAACCCTACGGTTGTATTCTCACTGTTTCCACCTGCTAATCCAGTCCCTTTCTGCTTGAAACTCACCTAAATTGGAGATAATCATGTTTGTTAGTCACCTCTAATGGACGGTTGTAAGCAAGTGCCAGAGAATTTTTCCCCTTCCATTAGTTTATGATGAATTTCTTCAAAGGGCATTTCTCCTCTTCCTAATGTATTGATTAAGCTTCGCCACTTCATAAAAGCTTCAATCATCAATTTTTAAGAACTGATTCCAAGCAACAATTCTCTCCTCTACTTTTCTGATAGTTCCGCCTAATTTGTCGTTTCTTTTCTCCTCTTACAAAAGCTTCTCGCCTTCTCATTATGGCTCTGGGTTCAAACTGAATCACATGAGAATCCAGGGGAAAAGAAGCCTGTAGGTTAGCAAGAGATGGCTAGAAATCATCCACATTCTGACTTATTTTTCATCGACATTTATTTTTCCCTGCAATGAAGCTTGGTTCATGGCTTCTTAGGTTAAGCTGGTTGAAGCTTGCGCTTTCTATTTAGTGAGGGGGAGTAAGCCTTCTTGATGGTGCCCAAGGATTTTTGAGAGCTAAGGAGAGGGGGAGTATGCTTCTTGATGGTGCCCAAGGATTTTGTGTGTGTGTGTGTGTGTGTTTGTGTGTGTGTGTGTGTGTGTGTGAGAGAGAGAGAGAGAGAGAGAGAGAGAGAGAGAGAGAGAGAGTAGTGT